GAGAGCTAGCTTTGAGCTTCAGGGCTCAGGGATAGCGCCCAGGCCCAGAGTTCAAGCCCCACAACCAAAAAAAAAGGAAAAATCCTTATGAATAGGAACTACCTTAAGATAATAAAAGCTATATATATATATATAAATGTATATATAAGCACCATACCTAATTGTCAAAAGTTTTCCTCTAAGATCAAGAACAAAGCAAGGATGTACACTTCTAAAGTATAAGTGTATGATACTGGAAATCTTAGATATAGCACTTAGGTAGAAAAAAAGAAAAAGCATAAAAACTGGGAAGGAAAAAGGTAAAATTATCTGCTTTTGGGTCTTAAATGTAGACAATCCTAGAGATTACAATTTCTTGGAACTAATCAATGAATTCAGCATACTGTAAAATTCAAAGTCAACACACAAAAGTATAGTGGTAATTTTATTTAGTAACAATGGATAACCTGAAACCTAAATTAAGAAAACAATTCCATTTACAATAACCTGAAAAAAAAAACAAAATGCTAAAGAACTGATTAAGGGGTGAAAGATTTTTCCAATGAAAATTACAAAATAGTGCTGAAAAAATTAATGATTCAAGTAAATGGAGAGGCAGCCCAAATTCATGAACTGTAGGACTTAATATTGTTAACTGAATGCTATCTGAATTATTTAAGTTCAGTATAAAATCCTAGTTTCCATTTCACAGAAGTAAAAATAATTTGTCTTAAAATCAAATGGAATCTTGAAGAACAAAATTAGAGGGACCACATTTCATAATTTCACAACTTACTATAATTTTTGTTTTAAAACTGGCTTACAAATAATAATAAAATGATAAGAAGGAGAAAATTATTGGGGTGGATTCACAAAAAAAATCTCTCTTATTAAACTATAGGGCAGGATTGAAGCTTTCATTATGTGGTTGTTAAAAAAAATCCCAACCTTGGTGTGTAAAATAATGTTATAAATAATACATTTCCCAGCAAGAAATCTCAGCATCCTAAGGTAATACATATTAAGGAGAAAGGTGTACATGTTTATTTTAATACTTAAATTTTTCATGTTGATAAGTAATGTTTTTATCGAATTAAAGATTTTGTGGAATCAAGGTGTGTGTGTGGAACACCAACAAAAAGCAAAGGACCAGAAGGCAAAACATTTAACATCTAAATTTTTGTAGTTACATAGCAATTGTGTACAAGGATAATTTTTTACAGTCAGTTAAGTCTAATAATAATATGCTGTCCAGAATATGTAGCCCAGAAGAAAAGATGGGTGACCATCTGCTTAGTTTAATTTTCTAATATGTTTGTTATTTTAACTGTATTATAAACTAATCTTAAAGTCTGGCTTTTGTTTTGCTTTGTTTTGTTTATTCATTTTATTTTGCTTCTCAGTTGATAACTTTGATAGTCCTTGGCCTCGGTGAAGTATAAACATTCTTATTTCTAAGAGGAAATAAGGAGTCTATAGCAGACAGTCATGATTAAGAAGGTCAGAGGGGCAGATTTATGAGAAAGATGAAAGGAATTAAGCAGCACCGCTTGGTTAAATGATGACAAAGACAGCATGATAAGAGTCTACAAATATTTGAAAAGCATATCCCAAGGAGGGAGGATTTGATATTGATCTTCCTACAAAGTCATTCAATGAGCCATGAATGGTTCATGTTAAGGAGAAGGAGACTGGCTGTCAGGGAAATTTTCTGGTGGTAATGTATGAAGTAAAGCACTTATTCTCCAAGTTATAATGGGAACTTTACTAGCTGATGGATTAAGACAAAATTTGTGGCATATTGGAAGGATCACTGGAAAAGAAAATCTTTCATCAGGAAATCCAATTGTAAAATAAATAAATAAAATCCTCACTGTGGTTTTAATTTGTATTTCCCTAATCAGTAGTCTTTATTGAGCACATTTTAATTGATGAAGATAGGATTCTAACTAATTACTGAGCATGCTTATGGACACTAGACATCTTAACTAATTCCACAAACTATGTATTAGTCATTCTTTTTTTCACATTGAATTGTCTATTTATATACTTTCCTATCACAAATCTATACACATATGTTTCTAGCTTCTAGTGTATTTTCATTATTGATTTGTCCTTTTTATGAACACCTATTCATTGTGAGATGGGCTCTTAACATACTCTAAAATAATGCTCGGCCATAGAACCTTGTGTCGTGATAGAAATGGCCAGTGTCATGACCACTATCGGGACATGGCTGTTAAGTACCTGAAATATAGAATGCATGACTGAAAATTTTAATTTTAAATTTTAAGAGCCTCATCTGGCCAGTGGCCACCATATTGCATAATGTATTACAGATACTCTCTATGATTCATAAAGACATGGAAGTTATCCATCATGTACATTAGCTTATCTACATACTTTATTTGCATTTACATCCTGTTTTTCCTAAATAATACTATCCATTTCATTGAAGGACCTTCAATAAATGAAAAAATTCAGTGCCAAAAACATCCTGTAATTAATATAACTATTTCTTTCTTTTAGTCACTTAAGTTAGTATAGTTTTCACTAAAGTCAATAACAATTTTATGCATAAATTTGGCTGGCATTTTATACTTCTATTTCTCTGTGGGATTAATGCAAAAGAAACATTAGCAGGAAGAGTGATTCCTCAGTCTCTTTTTCATTTTTATTATGTTATCATTTTAGTGTTTAATTTTTCCCCCTGTGCCAGGCTTAGAACCCAAGCAAGTATTGTAATTAGCTACATCCTTAGACCTTCACCAGTCTCTTCTTATACAGCTTCCAACTATTTCCTACCATCACTACTATCACGTGAGTTTCTCTCAGCACATCAGTAGCTTCATGATGATTTCTTAACATATAGTAATTTTACAATGTTAAATGTTATTGTAATTTTTATTTCTACGGTAGTCTTATTTATGTATATTCATTAACCTATTCACTATTATGTAGATTAGCATTTCATTTCTATAATTTGTTATGTCTTTATCTTTTTAATACATTGTAGAGTTTTTTGTGTAGTAGATATACTGTCATTTTGCTGAAGAAATTTTCACCAATTTATCTTTTTCTCTTCAAATTTTATATATGATGCCTAGGATATAAAGAATATTCCATTTTCTGTCCTTTACTTTTTCTAATATTGTTTACTTGTTTTAAAAGTGGATTTCCCTATCCTGAAAAGGGTGGTAGTTACCTATATTTCCTTCTAATTACTCATTCTACATTCAATATTTTGTGTGAAACTGGTATAAAAGTATGAGTTACAGATTTTTTCTAAAATAATCCATAGCCAGAATAAGGTTTATAGTACACAGTCTGATGCTATCTCTTCCCTTCAATTCGTTCCAGAATTCGTAACCTATTCCAACTCCTACCTATTACATAGGTCTACTCACATCTCATTCTAGGTTCTGAGTTGATTGATTGGTTGATTGATTGATTGATTGATTTTTCTTTCATTCCTTCCTTCGTTTTCTTTCCTTAACACCTTCCTTCCTCCCTCTCTTCCTTCCTCCCTCCCTCTCTTCCTTTCTCCCTCCCTCCCTTTTTCCTTCCTTCCTTCCTTTCTTCCTTCCTTCTTTCCTTCCTTCTTTCCTTCCTTTCTTCCTACTTATCTATCAACATGACACTTTAAGACCCCAGGTTGGCTTCAAACTCACTGTGTGGCACAGGCTGGCCCAGAACTTGTCATCTTTTTGCCTCAATCTCCATAGTGCTGGGTTTACAGATGTGCAGAGCACCCTTAATTTATCTAGAATATTTTATTTAAACTCGATTAACTAAATCTATAATTGAATATATGGTGTCATTTTGTAAGAAGGAAAAGTAGACGAGAAATGTGTATGTATATATATATATATATATATATATATATATATATATATATATATAATTTAAGGAAGAAAAACTTCCTGTGCTCTTGGCTCGTGAGCTGATGCCTCACTAACACTTGCAGCTTCATCAAACTGGGAGAACAAACACCTGCAAGAATCACTTAAAAGCTCTACTGACCTAATCTTTAGTGAACCAAAGTGCATTTCTAAATCAATATTTTTACAATCTCACAATTGTTTATTTTAATAAAAAGCTATTATTTCATTGATAATAAGAGCAATATGAGGGAGTTTGCTATGTCAATAACCATTACTGTAAAGAAATTAGTTATTTCAGAATGTTGGAAGCTTTTATTATTTAAGATAATATGCTTGAGTCATTTCAACCAGCTAAAATGGAGTTACACTTTACCTCAAGTTCAAATTTACCATGCAACCCATTGTAATGTGCCCTTAGTTCTGTGGCACCTTGTTTTAATGATTTGTTAAGATGAAGATAATGTGGCTTTATCATGTGCCTAATTAGCCATGCAGTCCCTAATGGTAGTCTAACTCATTCAGATAAAGACAGTTTGCTGATCTGTTCTTTAAGGAGAGGTGAGTGAGAAAGCCAAGAGAGAAAGATTGGGGGGGCAGTGTGTGCATGTATCTGTGCATGCATGAGCACATTTACAAAGTATTCAATTATAGTATAACATAACATTGGAGCTCTTTGATGATTATAAAAGGTTTTTTAAATAGGTTTTTAAAAATGTCCAAAGATAATTCTTTCAGTATCATAAATTTAGATTTTGGGGGGTTTGGTTGGGGACCAATGATAGTCTCCTCCTCTTCTCCTTCTTCCTCCTCCTTCTCCTCTTCCCCTTCTCCTCTTCCCCTTCTCCTCCTCCTCCTTCTGCTTCTTTTTAAAATCTCCTAAGTATCTGATATTAGGTAAAAATCACTGAAGAAATGATCTCTTCTAGATTGATTTGCAGTTGTCCAGTAGATCTATGCAAATATGCATTCATTGCCCATAGTCTAACTTAGCTGGCTCTGAAATTCTCAGTTTTCCAAGAAGTTTCTGATAAACTAACAATTTTTTCTAGATTTACAAATGGGGATGATTGAAAAGTATGGTTGAGTTTGTAAGACATAGTGCAAGAAATATATAGTAGAGATGAAAATATTTCTTACCTCATTCTTTAGCTTGCTCCCAGAAAACCTTAAAAATCAGTACATTTTTCATTAGTTCAAAAAAAATTACAATTATAGCGTTCAAGGAAATGCAGAAAACCAGAAACAGTAAGAATTTGATAATATGGATAGTGTCATAAATTGGAAAAAGTATTTAGATTTTCAAAGGAACCAAAGCATGTTTCTCCACTTGTAAAAGTAAATAGAAGTCATTTAAGAGAAAATAAAGTGAGATATATTCATAAAAATTAGCTAACCACTGAGGCAAGCAAAGGATCTCTAAAGATTTGTGTGAATTCTAATCTTCATTTACATTTTCTAGTAAGCAGTGGCTAGCAATCTGCCATCGTGATGACTTTTTTCCCACAAAATACATTAATTGTAAAAATAATATGCTCTTTTAAGAGATAGGAGTAGTAAAGGTAATCTCAGGTGCAGTTTAAACTACTGTTTCTTTTTGAACAATTATATATTTTCACTTGTTTTATTGTATATCACTTCATCTACTAGTATATGCCTCGTGGAAGCTTAAAGCAGTATGCTCTTCATATTCATTTATGATTTTTCTGTCACAGAGACCCAAACAGGTAAAATAGCTTCATTTTACTAAAATACAAGAATATTCAAACATCTTGGTAAGGCTATAGTCCACACACCAATCTTTAACACAAATTGTCTCCTGGCACATTATTTTGAGTTTATTTTATTGAATTCAATCTGAAATTAGATCCAGTCTTATGAGAAAATATTAATTCACAGTAAGTTTGCAGTGGGCTCTGGTGGGCCACCTCCAGTAATTCTAACTACTCAGAAGACTAAGATCTGAGGATCCACGTTTAAAGCCAGTCTAGGCAGGAAAGTGTAGAGACTCTTATGTCCATTTGACAACCAAAAAGCCATAAGTGGGAGTTGTGGCTCAAGTGGTAGAACACTAGCCTAGAGCAAAAAAGCGTAGGAATGGTGGACAGGCCTGAGGTTATGCCCCAGGCCAGCACATGCACCCAAACAGCAGCAACAGCAACAGCAACGAAAAAGAAACAGAACAAAACAAAAAGCCATGATTGCTCTTTGGTTCTCTAGCACACTTAGCTTACCGCTAATTTTTCATTATTACAAATCGTGACATTTTGCTAAGAAATCAAGACTATATCATTAAAATGCTCATACAAAGTTCAAATTAAAGTTGGAAGGTTAAAAGAAAGTATTTTGAGGGGAAAATTTGAAAGTCATTTTGCTCAATAGGTATCATGCATATTAAAAGAAAAGTAAAAGAAATGTAGAGAACGTGTCTTGAATATGGTGTGACTCTACCTTGTCAGGCCCTTCCCAGAATACACGGAGTGGTAATATGCACTGCTCTCTTTGATGCCAATCCCATAGTAATGATACCTAGGGCAAGGACAGGAAGGAGCTCCACGTTAATGAAGAGGGTTATGAAGGAGAAGAAGAGACTTAGATGGAACTAAAGGCCTGCAGTGAGAACTGTAGCTCTTGAATAAAGGGGAAAGACCACTGCTCACTTGTGTCTGTCTTTCATTTGTATGCTTCATCTTTACAATAAAATAAAATTTTAAAACAAGACGGGGAAAGAACAAAATAAAGAGAAGGTGATGGTTGCCCGTGGACTGCAGCCTCTCAATGAAACAGTCATGTGGAATGATGGAGGTTAATGAATGTCTGTTATTGCTGTGGTAGGCAGGGAAGTCATTTTCAAGTTCTTGGTATAAACTGAAAATAATAATCTGTTCATCTGGTCAGAGGAGTATCATAACTGATCCAGTTTTACAGAGTAGGGGGGAAAATATCTTAGGATACACAAGGAAAAAGAATGTTGGGAACAAGAGAGGAACGGAAGAAGTAACAATGCTTGACAAGAAATGTATTCATTACCTTACTCATGTAACTGTAACCCATCTGTGCAGCATCTTTACAATAAAATAACATTTCAAAAAGAACTAATAAAAACAATAGCTATTTCTAGGCTACGTATTATATATACTCATTAAATTGAACATACTATGTGTATAATTTTATTTTCATGAAATTTTACAAGATTGCTCTTATTTTCTTCACTTTACAGATGGGGTAAAATATAAAGATTAAATATTTGGCTTGATACCATAAACAAAAAAGAAACATAAAAAATCCTCAAAATACTAAACTAATTTATATCACTAATTAGAAACTAAAAGAAGAAAGCTTAATTCAAAAAGGTCTTACCAAAACCCATACATTAACAGAAACAGACAAGGGGAAAACTTTAAATTTATAAATAACTTAGTAGATTTAGATAACATTTAATCTTGTACATTAATAGAATTAATGAGGCTTGGAGTCTGGATTAAGTACTAAAATTTCCCTTACTAGACTTCAGATCACCACATCCAGGAAGAATTAAAACAAGTGGTTTTGAGAACAAGGAAATCTCTTAGAATGGGCAGCTGTTATAATGTAATTACATGTCATTTTTATAAAGATTGCTGTTCTTCTATAGGCTGTATCTTTCAAATAACTGTGTTAGCCATTTGCTAATACAACATATATTAAACACTGCTATAGGAGTCGATAATCTTCTTTTATAACAACTTCTAGCTCCTTGTTTCTTATCTCTAACCTTTTGCAACATGGAAGCAATGTTATTCCATAGTGAAGTGATTTTTCATGTAGACTGAGAAGAAACTAATTACTTCTCTTTTTTTGAAACTAATTGTAAGCTGAAGATGTGAATAGGAGGTCTGTAAGTAGAAAGAGAAGATGTGAATACGAGTTCAGTAAGTAGTAAGAGTACATACTTGCCTGGCCACTGCAACCATTGTCAGTATAATGATGGACAAAACACACATGGAAACTATGCTGAAGAATATGCATATTTCAAATCCTACCCCAGTTCATGACCTCCTGAACTAGATTCTTGCTAATAGTGGAACAGGAATCACCCTGACCAGCACTGAGGGTGATTGCTACATCCTTCAGGACCCCATTAATATTAACTAATATGGAGTTGATCTTGTTTATCTTACTCATGACATTAAGAGTGGTTTCATTACACTAATTTGTTCCTCTACTTTAGAAAATGACTTGGGCTGTTTATCTGTACTGTGCAGGTTATCTTTACAAATAGCAGTATTTAATATTTCTACTTGAATTCAGAATCAATATTTTCTATCTATCCCTCAAAAAGTCCTTTTAAACTAATGACAACGACAACCTAGACACCAGAAAAATGACTTAGCTAGCTACCTTAGCTCTATATAGGAGAAGCCGTATCTTTTCTTCTCATTAATAATATCCCATAATGTAGATTATACTGTTATAGCTCAATGTGTTCTATCTATGCATTCTTATAAATCTGCCAGGAGATAGAAAACCACTAAGGGTACACTCTCTTTTCTTAAAAAATATATTTAGTATTTATTATGCATTATGTAGTGAAGAGCAAGTAGCTGCAGAGGGTCTGGAACCTGGAGCTGATATTCTATGCATGAGGAGGAGGGTGAATTCATTCAAAGAAAGAATTGCAACTCTGTAATACATATTGCAACATAGATAATGATAGAAGCAATTACTACTTGTTGAGCATCTATTTCAAGCAAAAACAATTACATTCATTATCACAAACTGTCACAACCTCAAAGTGCAATATCATTGGGATTTCCACTTCAGATCAGGGGTTCAAGCTACGTGATTTATTCAAAAAAGGTTATTTTAAAATACTATGAATTTAAAGGCAAAATTTAAGCCTGTTGATCTCGAGAGCACACTAATTCACTAAGAATATGCTGGTTTAACACTTGAAGTACAGAAAAAGAAAAAGAAGAACATATTAAATATATGGTTTTCAGACATTAAGCATATGGACAAAAGCTATTATCTTATTTGTTAGTGATGATTTGGTGGGTTGATAAAACTCTCATCAGTTATATTTAATTTTGCATCTCATTTGCTTACAATTAGAAATTGTTGTGTAAAATAAGTTGGAGTGTGTTTGTGCGTGGCACATCCGCTCCTCAAATACATCGTGAATCCTGGCAAACACAGAGAATAATTGTAAATCATTAAAGCCTACACCACTGGCACTGAATATTTTGAATTTCACATTCTATACAGAAACATGGGCTCCTAGAAAGTAATCTTCCTGAAAGAGGAAGTCAAAAAGTATTTGCTGAGTAACTGAATGAATAACATGAAAAAAATTGAGAATAATTATATTTCATAAAGAAAACTATAAACAAAAATATGTTAAATAAGTTATGCCTGGATTGTTATTTACTTAAATGTTAAAATTTGATACAGTTTAAAATATCTCTCACCAGGCATTGTTAGCTCAGACCTGTAATACTAGCTACTCAGGAAGCTGAGATCTGAAGATTGAGATTGTAAACCAGTCTGGGCAGGAAAGCATATGGGAATCTTATCTTGAATTAACCACCAAAAATCCAGAAGTGGAGCTGTGGCTCAAGTGGTAGAATGCTAGCCTTAAGCAAAAAAGCTCAGGAACAGTGTCCAGATTCTGAGTTCAAGCCCAAGGATTGGCAAAAGAGTAAAATAAAACAAATTAAGTATCGTCTTTAGGTAGAAAAGCTATGCTAGCAATACATATCTCAATGCTCGGAAAAATCATTTTGTAAAGAATTTTGCAATGCCTTCACATTCATACCCTGTCTCTTTTGGAGTAAAAGAAATAGTCTCTCTCCCTCCCTCCCTCCCTCCCTCCCTCCCTCTCTCTCTCTCTCTCTCTCTCTCTCTCTCTCTCTCTCTCTCTCTCTCTCTCTCTCTCTCTCCCTCCCTCCCCCACTCTCTCCTTCCGTCTAACTAGGTACACGGTATCACACGAGTGATGATTTAGGGGCTTTCAGGAAAGAGGAGAGGAGATGATAAATGAGCAGTTCTGTCTTCCTAGAAGTCAAAGATAAACCTCATAAAACTGGGAAGAGTGAGTTCATAGAGAGTATACGTGTACTTCTCATCTCCCTTGCAACATTTTATAGCACTGCTTTGCTGTTAATAGATTTCCCTAAAATAAACTCTGCTAGGAAATATCATACAATCTAACAAGGACATATGCTAGTCCATGTTAGGTAGAGATTTGTCTCATGGGGCAAGTAACTGTATGAATTTAGATATCAATACCTGATAATGGTTCTGTAGCCTATTCTGGATAAAGATTCCCAAGTATTTCACAGCTCTTGTGTATATTTTACTACAGAATCTAAGTGATCAACACCAAATATGTCTGGGTTTCATTACTAATTTCTCTAAGAAAATGTTTGTGTCACAAATAGACCTTTCTAATTTGTAACAAAATTCAGTGGCATCAACCATGCCTAGTCTTCTACTTTGTGTCAAGTGATAGGCATCATTTATAATTTATGAATGAACAAGAATAGTTAATGAGTGCTTCCACTTTTTAAAGTGAATATGTTATAAAATCACAATATATTTTGGTGGGAGCAAATGGAATTATTGCATTTTTATACTCAAAAGTTTCTGCTGTGTCTGTTTTCATTTGCTGATCACTTTATATCCATACGTTTATTGCTCTTTTTCCATGTCCGTGCTGGTCCTCATACAGAATTCTTGAAGCATATGTTCCCACTGAGCTAGAAGATCTGGTGTTAGTTTACACTACACAAATGATAACTGATAAGGAAATGATGGGATTAAGCTGTTCACGGACTTGCAATAACTTGCTCTGATAAGAGCAGCTGCCCTATCAGTTTTATTAACCCACTAATAAATAAGATAATAGCTTTGGTCCATCATGTCTGAAAACCAAGATTTGGCTGATCAAAGTCTACAAGAAATTAAAATGTAACTCCAAATCAAACAATCTACTATGTGGATGAAATCTACTTGTAGGCTCGACCACATTCTCCTTTACTTCAGCAAAGCATTCTGCAAGAATACCTAGCAAGAATGGGATATTAGATCTTTTTACTCATCAAAAGGGATAAAAATCCCTAACACCCAGATGGCACTAGTGAAATGTTAATCATTAATAATTAATACCAATAATGAGGCCTTTTGATAACTGATACCTATCTCTATAACTCGTTGATCCCAAACTTTTTAGAACTATGCTTTGTACATCAATACCTCAATGAATGGATTGTACATCAATGAATGTATTAATTATTCCTGATCTAATATACTCATAACCACAAAATATGCAGCAATTACTCAGTTACTCTACTGTAACTATAGAATTTTGTTTTATTTCTATTTTTCGGAAATCTAGGGAAATGTTGCAAGGGGTGACAGTGATCAATATACAATGTACTCAAATCGACATAGTTGAATTGAGACCTTGTTGTACAACTAGTTAAAGATAAAATAATTTTTTTAAAAAAAGAAAACCTAAATGTAAGGCTACTACAAGTGACTCACGCCTGTAATCCTACCTACTCAAGAAGCTGGAAACTAAAGGATCATAGTACAAAGCCAGCCTGGGCAGAAAAGTCCATAATACTCCATCTTCAAGATAACCACCAAAAAGCTAGGCTGAAGTGTGGCTCAAATGATTAGCAAGCAAGCCAAATAAGAATATGACTGTGAATTGAAACCTTATTATGGCAAAAGGAAGAAAAAGGAAAAAGAAAAATTTTTAATATAAACATATTGTGGAGAATATAAGTTTTTGGCGGGCTGGGAAGGTGGCTCAGTGGTAGAGTGTTTGCCTCACATACATAAGGGCCTGGATTGGATTCCTCAGCACCACATAAGCAGAAAAAAGCCAGAAGTGGCACTGTGGCTCAAGTAGGGCACTAGCTGTGAGCTGAAGAGCTGAGGGACAGTGCCCAGGCCCAGGGTTCAGCCCCCATGACCGACAAAAAAAAAGATTTTGGCATTGGTAGTAGTCAAAGAGAAGAAGAAAAAAACATGAATGTGAGGTCATTTTCTGTCTTGACACCTAGAATAGGCAGTCTTCCACTGGGGTTGCCGGTTTCTTAGAAAGGAAGGTGGATGAAAGGCCAGAGAACTGAGCAGTTAGGGCCACATACAAACTGAATGGTTTTTCCCCAAAGCACACTTGTTATGTGCTCTGAAGTGAGACTTTCCAACTTCATCTTCTCCCATGACTGGAAACAAATTACTATTCCACTTTTCATTGTGTCTATTTCTGAAAATGGATAATATCTGGGCCTACACTGAGATTTTGTGCATTGAAGTTTTTATTTTAATGGAGCTGTTTGTTTTAAATAATGCATAGCTCTTCTATTTGATTGACCAAACCTTTGGTTCAGTTCTTCAAACTATTACATCTCTTCCTCTTCAAAAAGGAAAGAAGTGAAACCTGTTCCATAGTGACAGGTGGAAAGACAGTCAGTGGAAGAACCAGTCAGTAAGAGACAGAGCAGAATTTAGACCACAACTTCAAAGCAGAGATGGAATTCCTTTAAGGTGTAACTTCTGTTTCTCACATAAATTATTGTTTCCCAAACTTCTATATGAACTTTCCCAAACTTTCTATATGAACAGTGAAATTGGAAGAGTGATTTTGCTTCATGAATGCTAAAGAGAATTTTACAAAGATCAATTCAAAAACCAAAAATGTCTATTAAGTTACCCAAAATAAATTCTGTCTGATAATCCCAATTTAAATAATTTTATGTACTCTAATCTATAGAAATTTGACCAAAAAATGGAAAACATATTTGAAATAATCACCATCCAAACATTGGCATACTGTTAATATAGATAACAAATTCAACAAAGTAAAAATAAATTAATGGAAAGTTTATTTTTATTTACAAAGTAATTCAGTAAGTATTTAGTAACAGTATGCTTAGGGTATATTAAATATTACAATGAAAACAAAATAGGAGAAATAACAATTGCCTGATTTTCCACCAGTATTGGTGTGTTATATTCATAAAATATAAATTTGTGGAATATTAAATAACCATTATTATTTTAATGTAAAGAAATAGGACAGAAATGAAAGGGAGTAAAAGTTCATTGATGTTGCAATTTTCCCTTTATATAAAACAAACATCTCTAAATGAATTATTGAGGTTTAATTTATTATATCTAAGACCCATAAAAGTGTCCAGATCCATAATTGTTGACAAAACAACAACAATAATTTTTTCCAACTGTACCAACATAACCATTTCATGAGTATACATTTACTGATGAAAAATGAGCAATTCATACAGTATCACACAGTCATATTTGGAAGTATAGGATTCCTGCTTACATTTATCAAACTTTAATTCCCACGTTCCTAACTCTTAGTCTGTGCTGCCTTTAGATGTACTACCTTCCAAAATGAAATCTGAGGACATTTGTATTTTGGAAACAAGGACAAAAAATTACCTTACTAAGAATAATTATGTCAAAATATTATCACTTCCAAGATATACAAACTCTATATCTAGCTGTATCTTTCAACATCCTTCATTTACATACAGGAAATTAATTGTCTCTAAAACAACAAAAAATACAGTTGTCGTCTTGTTTATTTTTTTTAACCTCTGGCATATCATTAAGGCAGAAAAAAATTCAAATTGTTGATGTTTTATCCTTGGCACACCTACTGCTCTGGGATATAAATAAATTGCCAGAAGTCACCAAATGTTGCTATATCAACCTAAGTACTCTGGCCTGACAGTGCCACAATGCACAGTTAATGATTCATCCCTAATCCTAAAGGCTCCTTCTAGGATTAATTTACTTTCTCTGCAGCCTGTCTGCCCAATCTCTTGTAGATCTTGTCAAGAGGATTTCTCTGCATTGCTTTGCCTCTTTGCCCCTATCTTCCTACTTCAAACACCATCTGAGCTCTCCTCTCCTTACACAACTCATAGAAATCAACTCCAGTAGATACCATCAACCCAAACTGATTCAAAACTGATTTTAACTAAAGCTGAATTGATTGCAAGAGAAGGACCAATTTTATCTGGCTAAAATATTGTTAAATTCATTTAAATTAATTCAATAAATATTAGCTGACAATCCACTATGTATCAGACATCAGAGAGGATATCTAAATAGATTCAATATAGCCTCTATCCTCAAAATGCAATTTATTTAGGGAAGGCGATAAGTTAATGTCACACTTGATAGCGCCCCCCCCATAAAGCTATAAGGTTGCAAGAAGGCTGCAGCAAATGAATAGAGAAAGAAAATATGCAAAAGAGAAAGCTGTCAAGACACTCTGAGATGGATCATATTTCAACTTAGGTGTGGGTCCAGGGCATCCCAGGGCATCCTGGGAAAACCAGCCTGAACCAAAGAATGATGAGTGGGGTGAAGCAAAGAGTCCTGGGTAATAGTTTAATGAGGAGGTGGGTTACATGCTGATAATTAAGAAGCAATCAATAAGATAGGAAGATGGACTGGAACTTCATCGTAATGGATCTTGAATGTCAAGGTGAGAAAATTGTGTCTTTTTAAGAGCAGAAATTATGAGCCAGTGGAAGTTTCTGAGCAACTTGAATCTGGTTAAATATGAACCTCAGAAACATTATATGGAATAGATTAGAAAGACAGAGTCAAGGCCAGGTTATCAAGTGGGAATGAGGAAAGCCAAATTCGAGGAAATTAAAAACATGTTCTTGTTTGTGGGGTTTTGGGGGCAAGTAAATAAAACACTGAGCTAGCCAGTAAGGCAGCCATGAGCCACATGCAATGACTTGAAATATGGCTAGTCTGAACTGAGATTTCTTATCAAGAGAAAACTGATAATGAGTTTCAAAACTCAGTAGGAATAAAAGACTATATAATATCTTGATAATTTTATGTGGACTACATAGTTACATGATATTTTCAATTGTGGGGTTAAAGTGTCTTAAAATTAATTTCAGTTGTTCTTAGAGGGCTCTTTTTATTTTCCCCAGTCCTGGGACTTGAACTCAGGGCCTGGACACTGTCCCTAAGCTTCTTTTACTCAAGGCTAGCACTCTACCACTTGAGCCACAGAGCCATTTCTGGCTTTTTCTGTTTATGTGGTACTGAGGAATCAAACCCAGGGCTTCATGCATGCTAGGCAAGCACACTGCTACTAAGCTACATTCCAATCCCTTTCTAGAAATTTTTGAGCAAAATACAAGGCTACATTATGTTTCTGTTGGTCAGCACTGGACTAGTCCTCTGGGGAGGGGAGGATGGCAGGAAGGTAGAAATGCTGTGGTAGTGAAAGAACTGGGTAAAACTGTGATAGAGAAACCAGAAGGGAACTTTCTGTACTTATTAAGTGTAAGAGGGCATTAGTAGCAAAAGGAAATGGAGGTGAAGAATAGTAAAAGTGATCCATTCATTAGCTTCAGATAAAGGAAGTGTATGCATACGAATGGGATCAGTGGTGAACAGCACCAAGGGAAGTGAGCTAGCAGCTAGTAGGTCATGAAATAACAAAGAAAATGAAAACAGCAGAGCAGAGGTGAGGATAGAGCAGGGCTAGTAGTCTTTCAGTATAGAAGACTTGGCTGTGCTTGGAGACCCTAGAAGAAACTGAAAACACAGGGAACAGAAGAAATAACTGATTAACGAGGACCTGTAACTGGACATTCTACAGATAGCCACGAAAGACAAGAGAGCTAAAGATATCAAGAGGAGAAGATGTTGGCAGCTTATCTGCTGCTTATATGCAGACAAAAAGACAGTCAAAGAGGTCATTTGTGCATGTCATTTGTCGTAAAGGAAAGAGAAGGAGATACTAGGTCATTGTCATCTAAGATAGAAAACTCAAGAGACAATCTGAACGTCACTAGGACAACTTCTTTCTCCTCAGAACTCTTCCCTCCCTGGCATTGGCTTTGCTTTAGGAGGTGTTGTAGATGATGTTTGGTTACTATATTTAATCTTGTACATTTCCCTTCTGTAACACTGGCGCCTTAAATAACAGCTTCAAGATTATAAAAATTATTCCTTTATTTCAGCAGAAAGAATAATATAATCTGGCTTTCATTTGTAAATTTTGCTTTCTAGACATTATTGTAAAAAATTTCCTTTTTTTAATATGCTGATACTTGGTAAATCTGCTTCATTAGGAAAACCATAATCTGAATTCTATCCACTGATAAAGACAACACTTCTCACCCTCATGTACAAAGGAGGAATTATTGTGGACTCATATGTCTTACTTTGAATGTCCTCTTGTTCCAAGACGCCGTGTGGTGAGGAGGGGGAATTTCTGGCGAATGGTCTAAAAAAGAAACACAATTACTTTAGTGTTTATAAAGTATGTTATTCTAATGTGAGCCATTCATTACCAACTAGGTCAAGAAAGTAAAGCTGAACTCTAAGTGAACTGTGAGAGTATACTTAATGTGAAAGAAGGTAATAACACACACATAGAGGTAGACAATACTTCAGCAGAGGCAGAGGCCTTTTTTGGTTTTTTAACTAGAGTGTTCTGCCACTTGTGTGAGTTTTCAAGGCAAATCTACTAGTAACTGCTTTTGCCTAATTTTATTGCCAGGTAATGATTGCTTTATATATGTTCAGAAGAGAGGCATTTGGTTTCTTTATAATAATTCTATAAAGAGATTTACACATAGTTGAATATACATCTCCTCCTGAGGTCTATATATGAGCTTGTCTTTTGTTTTTTTGAATCAGATTCTCAAGGTACATTGTGACTCCTAGTTAAGAATCATCACCATAAGGGAAACTCATAAAATGCTAATGCTAACGTGGACATTGGAAATTGTCTTATCTAACTTCAGTGACTTGCTTGAGCTTTGAAGGTCTCACAATGAGTTCATTGAAGTCATGGCTAGACTACAGGTTGATTGATTACTATGTGCCATGTCACACTGTCTCTGTAAACAGATAGGTTTTTAGAATAAATAATTTTTAAAATGACTTGAATGAGGCATGGAGACAGGACTCATATATTCATTATTTTCTGAACAATGAGTCCCTCTACAGGTTAGAATTTGGATTTCAGTTTAACAATAGAGATAACAATACTTGATATCTACACTTCCTATGGATTTCCTGAGACATTCTACATTCTCAGACAACAGAGCATGATGAGGTTTTCCCAAGAGATTAACATTGTTTCCTGGTTCTCAAAATGATAAGTATAGCAATGGCAGCTCCATAGATTCCCATCAGAACCATATAGACTATATATAGAAACGAATGTTTCCAAATGATAGAAATTTAACCCATCCCATCATGAAATATTTAAGTTCAAGATACAAATATATTCAGTGTCAAGTAGAGAGTTTGGGCAAGTCTTTAGGTTGTAGAATAAAAACCTATTAAAACTCCTTAAACTATCTACATAATTATGATAACCACAAATTGCCTTAAGAGGTTTACTATCTTTGCTTTATTTTACTGCTCCACATACTCTTCACTGCCTTCCTCTTTGAGGGAAAATGTCACTGTTCAATGGAGATTGCTTTAAGCTCATTTATCTTTTGATAGTGAGTTCTGACAGTCAAAAAGTCAAGGTTCTGATATTCAGAATTAAGGCTGGAAAAACATTACAGTTGGATATAGTTATTAGGAGATTTCTCTGGTGCCTGTAGAACAAATGGCTTTAACTTTCTCTATGAGAGCTGGCTAAGGTATTTCTAATAAGACAGCTCTAATCATAAAGAACATGTTTCATCTACCTTTCCGAAGGTGGCTGCACAGGCTGGCTCCAATTTCTCTTTCCGGCAGAAATCTAAATAATGTGCATAAAGGATACACCGTGGTAGGCAAACACCTTCACACACTATGTAATTCTCTTCAAGCCTAAGAAAAAAGGCCAAAAGCTGAGTCAGATGCTTTCTCATCTCCCTCCTTCTGTATAACCGAATACTCATTTTTCAGACTATACAACTGAGTTAGTAAGCAGTTGTGAGTAGACTTCTTTAATTCTGGATATTATTAGAATTATTTTTAGGTCATGGTGAAAAATAATAACAATGCATTATATATCTCAAAATGGAAGACAAAAATTTTAATGTATGCATCATAAAGAAATGTTAAAAGGTTAAGGTGGTAGATATGCTAGTTACCCTATGCTCATTATCAAATGTATTGTAGAATTAAATATCCCATTGTACCTCATAAATATATAAATATTGTGTGAAAGCAAATAAAAAAGCTTATTATAAGATTATCCTCGATGAGCCTGACCTAATTTTGTAAACCATCGACAGAAGTTCTAGACATCAGAGATGAAAGACCAGAAGGTTTGAAGTAGTAGCAGACAGCTTCCTGCAGATCTCGAAGAAGCATTCTACTGTATCTTGAAGAGAACCCTCTCTCAGGGAATGACCATTAATCCGTAAGACCTTAGGAACTCAGTTTAATCATCTCAAGAAGTAAATTCTCTAGACAAACAATGAAATTAGAAGAAAAACCAGAATCTCAGATAAGACTTCTTGATTTCAGCCTTGTAAAAAGTATGAAGGGAACTGTCCCTGATTCCTTACCCATAGAAATTGTGCAATAATAAATTTGTGTTGTTTTAAAAGCAAAAACAATCCCAGATCATAAAGGTTAATATAAGAAGAGCAAGAACCTAGAGAATATCTACTAGTGCAATTAAAATATCATTAAATATTTATATCATTATCATTAAAATATCATGGCTAATGAACTGTTGCTTCTAACTGGTCCATATTGGAAATATTTCTACATAAATTCTCATTGATCATCATGGCTGACTCTTGGATACATAAGTAACAGTAGTAAAATAGAAGATACCAGGTTTTTTTTTTTATTGAAGAACACCTTCATAGAAGAGGGATGAGCAAGCTTCTGGATGGAAAATGCTTGTACCCTCTTATTTTCATTTTTAGACTACTTGTGAATACTAGTAATTAGGGAATGGCAGTAAGGCATTTGTTAAAGGGAAAAAAAATCCCAGAAGAGGAAACTCATCACGTTTAGCTGAAATGACACTGGTCTGTATCTATCCTTATAACTTTTTACTGTGATTAGTTTTATTATTATCTAACACATGTTGTACTTGAGACAATACAACTCTACATAAATGGCTTCAAACATAATATGCATCATTGCAAATCCATATATAAAAGGAAACACAAACTTTGAAATCTTAGAAACAATCCCATTTAAAGGGCAAGTGCAATTTATAAAGTCATAATAAGTATATATGTGTTACAACTACCTGAACAGCAATCTAGAAATCAGAACTTCTAAATTCTATTCCAAGTTACACAATTCTCATAGTTCAATTTGGGATGAAATATCAATTTTATGTTTAGCAAAATCATAATCATTTATAAAACAGAAGGCTAATACAGAGTATATATTCAAATTAGAAATGGGTGAAATACTTAGAAACTTCTGATTTAAAGTAGTCTCAGTGCTCACTTTAGTACTGAGGAAAGTAATTCTGGAGTAGGCAAAGGGCTGTCAGACAGCCTTTTTTTCTATAAGGATGAAAATAAGACCAAAACTAACTAAGATCTTAATTTTTGTAAATAAGTGAATTTGCATCATAAAATCAAATACTTGATAGTGAAAATTGATGCTATTCAGACAGCTTTTTTACTTTGACTTTCAGTTCTAATTTTTAACACTCCCAAGGTAATCTGTAACTTCAAATGAAAACTTAAACAAATCAGCTCATTTTTAAGAAAGTGGAAAATACAAAACATGAAAGTTATTGAAAAATATTTGGCTATTTTTAAAAACTATATTTTAATAGCATCGTACATCATGCCTACTTGTCATCTACTTTTAGGCATTGCTAATCTTTGAAATACAGAGTAAATACAGATGTAAATACAATATTAAATTTGGGTAAATTTAAGGTTGCTTCTATTCACTCAATTTGTACTCAAAAATGAAGTGATCATTCAGAACACTTCTGTAACATATCTGAAATAAAAATACTTTTGCCCAAATTTTCCAAATGAGAATTATTATGTCTAAAATATTTTTGAGGGATGGGAAGGTGGCTCAGTGGTAGAGTGCTTGCCTCACATGCATCAGGCCCTGGGTTCGATTCTTCAGTACCACATATGCAGAAAAAGCTGAAAGTGGGGCTGTGGCCCAAGTGGTAGTGTACTAGTCTTGAGCTGAAGAGCTGAGGGACAGAGCCCAGGCCGAGAGTTCAAGCCCCACGACCAACAAAAAATAAAATAAAAATAAAATAATAAAATATTCTTGATAATTAGCTAAATTATTTACAGCTCATGTGTGTTCTTAACTAGTAATCATGACATCAACTTCAACAGTTAAAATATAACCTTGGTGAAATATTTGTTTTATATCTCAAATATTTGTTAAGGTTCAAGCATATAATCACAAAAATTCAGTATATGCAAATTGCAATTTAATGCTTCAATAAGTAGAAATAAAACCGTCTTATATTTTAGATTTTTCCTATTATATTTTATAAGCTATAGATAATATTGTATATAAACAGGCTATATTATCAGAAATAAGTAGTTATTTTTGATTATTTAGAATGAGGAAATATATACTACTACTTCATACTGGGTTAATATTACATTTTTACTTTAGAGTTCTTTTTTCAATTAAACATTACAAAATGTCTTCATTACATAGAAAAACCTACTGATAATCTCTTTAAGAGAGTTTCTATAAAATCCAATTTGTGATCCTTTACAGTGATATATATGACAGGTGCCATAAAACATTTGAACATTTCTTTAAATTAATAGTGACATCCTAACTGATTTTTTGAAGTTTTCTGTTTCAAACACAATTGGACTATTTTATGGGCAGTTTTCTTTTTCTAAGTTGTCCGATAAAGATTCTTTTATCTTAACGTATCATGAATGATCACATTTTATTAACACACACACACACACACACACACACACCTGGGAAATAACAAAGAATATATAAGAATTAAATGGCTTCCATGGTAAGCAAGTCATTCACCAAAAAAAGAAATAGTCCTAGCTTACGTTTTAAGAATTGTATTTTCCCTCAATAATGATCATAGATTGTATTTAATCCGTACCAGAATATCTCTATATGTTAAATAGTCAGTGAAAAAATAATGAACGAATGTCTAATTGAGCCTTCCGACTGGTCCAGAAAGTTTCCAGGAACAGCAAACTATAGGAAACACAAATCCTGAAGAGCCTGAAGTGACAGACTTGCACAGGTGCGTGCGCGCGCGCGGGGGGCCGGTCTTACCACTGCAGCGTGAGCTGAGTCTGCTTCTTCTTGGCCTTCATAATTTGCGTGATGGTTTTCTTCTGAGACAGGTGTTGGTCCGCTGCTTTGGTTTTGCTGTAGTGGATCTCAGCATCCTCTTCTTCAGAGGACAAATTCCCGTTGTTCAACTGCATTTCTGGTTTCAGATTTAAGGAAGGACCACAACAGAAGAAGAAAACACAATCAATGAAGTCGTTTCTCAAGGTACCTTTGGGTCAGGTGGAGGCGTCCTACGCCTGCGGGGGTAGGGGAACAGAAGAGCAAAATTCACTCTCACTCTCTCTGTCTCTGTCTCTCTCTCTGTCTCTCTCTGTCTCTCTCTTTCTCTGTCTCTCTGTCTCTGTCTCTGTCTCTGTCTCTCTGTCTCTCTGTCTCTGTCTCTGTCTCTCTCTCTCTGTCTCTCTCTCTCTCTCTCTCTCTCTCTCTCTCACACACACACACACACACACACTTTTCCTGGGAAAATATGATTCGGACAGAACATTGCACGCTTGCGCCCATTTGATGTGGGTATCCACTTCTGATTCCTGGACGCCCTTCTTTGGGAGTAAACACATCCTGGCCTCACCCCCATCCCCGAAGGGGAGCGAGCACTCACCTGATTTAACTCCCACCTGCAGCTCCGGGTCCCCCCTTTTCTCCCCACTGCTGGGCGCGCCCGGGGGCTGCGCTTCAGCTGCCAGGTACGCTCTTTCTTCGGGATAGCCTAGCAAATCTTTGCCCAGTAGCTGCACACAACACTCGCCCTGGATCTCAGGGGAAAGTTGGGGCGAGGGCTGCGCTTGCAGAAAGGCATTCTCCAGCTCCCGGATCTTAGCCATCTTCCCGGCCGCCAAGACCACGGCGCCCAGCAGCCTGGCCCGCAACAGCGGGTGGAGCCGGAGCCCCGGGCGGGGCGGGGCGGGGCGGGGCCAGGGGGGACCTGTTGGCCACAGCCGCCGGGGAGGAGGCTCAGGTTCCTGAGCCCCTGCAGGTGGAGGAAGAGACTCGGATCTTCAGGTCGATCCCCAACAATCCCAGGGCCGGGGAGGGCCCAGACGGGAGTGCCGCCTTTCTGCACCTGTCTACTGTCCCTAGCAGATGCTTCTCCGCAAAGTAACTTCCTCACCTGCGCCAGCCACGCCCGGCGACCTGAAGTCTCTTTCCTCCTTCCTCCTTCCCATCTTGCGCTAGGCCCAGGGTCGTTCTAAATGCCCCAAACTTCCAGAAACCTCCCAGAACACTTGATCCCCATCCGTTTCATCTAACCCCATCCTTAGACTCAGGAGACATCAATAACGTACCTGTCCAGCATCCCTGATTCTGCACGCCAGGGACATGGGAGCGGTCCCGGTACACCGCCCAGTCTACTTGGCCTAGGTCGGCTTGTTAATTCCCCTGACAACCCCAGAGCTTGGCCAGGGCTCTCTGCTGTGGCCCAGGACAGATTCCATCCCAACACACTCCCTCCCACCCTTGGCCTGCACACACACTGGCTGAGACTCGGGGCCCTCGCCCTCGCTGCCTCTGAAAAGGGGCCCTGAACTTAAAGGAAAAGGTACTTTCACTAACACTCACAGTATTTTGTCATTTAAACTTTACCTGAGGTTTCCTTATCTCATGCCTAGCGGCCATGCAAGGGACATATGCTTAAAGGGAAATATAAATAATTTTCCATTCTCATATGCCAAGAGCCAGACTTGGGAGAGAATTAGTTGTGCTTTGAGCAAGAACACCCTGAGATTTTAAACTCATTTCATCTAACTGCTACCTAATCTCCCCTTCTTTCCTCTTCTGTTTTTTTTGGAAAGTATTCCCTGTCTCTCTACATTCCCAGTACTCTCCAAGAAAGCAATAGTGCTGCTTTGGTGGCCTCACCATAACTAACTTGTAATTCTTCTCCTGAAACATTAGAAAAAAAAATAAATCACCCTCGAAATGTACTGTCATCAAATGACAGTAAACTGAAATTTAACATAGAAAAAATACCAGATGACTAAAGGGTGAAATATGGGAGCAGTAATATACGTCTTGTCAAAGCCACTAAGGAGATGTGTTGTAAAGAGCATTACTATTTACCTGTTGCCTCCAGCTGCTGGCTGGAGTCACACTAAGGCTCATTCAGAAAAAAAAAAAAAATCTTCCCACAAGAAAAGACTCCATTTTAATTTTTTTATTGACTCCTTGCTGGACATTGGTGGTTCATGCCTGTAAAAATAACGTTTTTAGAAGCTAAGAATGGGAGGATGGCAGTGGAGACAAGCCTGGTGGGGGAAACAAAGAAGGAGGAAACAATACTTGATAAGAAATGTACTCTGCCTTGCTCGTGTAATTGTAACCCCTCTGTATGGTATTTTCACAATTAAAAAACTTATTAATAAAAAAGAAAAATCTGCAAAACCCTTTCTCAAGGGTCTCACAGCTGAATGCACATCTGTTACCCTAAGCCAGGTGGAAGACTGAGGGTGGAAGGACCATGGATTCCAGGCCAGCCCATAGAGAAAATAACCCTAAATCCCCAACACAATGGCTCTCATCTGCCATTCCAAAAAGCAGATCATAGTCCCTGCCCCAGCAAGGAGGAAGACTTCACCTCAAAAATGACTAGTGAGGACTGGAGGCATGGCTCAAGTGGTAGAACACCAGTCTTAACAAGAAAGCTGAGCAAAAGCTAGAGGTCAGGTCCTGGATTCAAACCCTAGTGCAGGCTAATAAATAACCAGTGGAAAATAGGGCTGGAGGCATGGCTTGGCAGTAGAGTACCTATCTAACAAGCCCTGAGATCAAACTCCAGTACCACCCAAAGGAAAACACACAGTTATCAACTACTTAACATCCAGAGGGTCTGGATATGTGTGTCCTACAGGTACTTAGTGAATATTTGGAAGTTTTCCAATGGAGCTGATGAATGGAAATGCAAACTAAGATTATTTAAATAAACCTTTGATTTCTAACATTAAAAATAAGACAAAATAACAGATGTTTAGAAATGAATGCCAATTTTCTCACACTTAGGGGATGCACTGAGCGAATGCAGTGAGGAACAAAGCTTTCATCACCCTAAATTGCCATTCCTGATTACATTAGTCCCCCTTATCCAGATGCGATATGGCATGCAGAGACACCTCCCAGCTGTGGATGCTTGAAACTATGGTACCAAACCCTATATATGCTTTCCTCTATGCCCTGCAGTGCTGCCCAAAATACCTGAGATAACCTGTCCTTCCATGCTGTCCCACCTGGTGGTTCCTTTGCATCACTACTCTTGAGCTTTGGGGCCATGAGTAAGTAAATCGGCACTGCAATATTCTGATAGCCCAGGTAACGACCGAGTGATGAATGGACAGGAAGAATATACAATGGGGATACCATACACAAATGGATGACTCATGTCCCAGGCAGAAGACGTATCTTTACATTACTCTGAACAGTATGTGAAATGAAATTTATTTATTTATGGGATCTTCCACTTACTATTTCTGAACCATGATTTACCATGGTAACTGAAATGGTAGAAAGCAAAAACTTGGATAAACAAGAGACTTCTGTATTATAATCAATATGAGTTCATCAGACCAATGTTTGAGGGAATAGTGCTAGACAAATATGCAATCTTAGGCAGAAGAATAAGTAAATATAAAGAGTAGTCTTAAAACTGTGATTCTTAAGATTTTTGTTTTTTTAATATGTTCTATAGGAAATTTATATAAGTCATGAATTGTCTCTTGGCATGAGGAAATGCTGATAAATAAAATCATATACATCTAAATAAAATTCTGCCTATAAATTGACATCTCTCAAAGAATATCTGAAAAAGTTGATTTTTGTTTTAAGAAAAACATATCTAAAGCAGAAGTTCTTGAAAGGGAATGGAATCTACAGTCAGGAATATTAGTATACAATTTCTTTGTGATGATGGAAAGTTAACCCTTTTATGCCTGTTTCCATCTCAGTTGGATAATAGTTCCTGTTTGGAATAGATCTCGTGATTGTACTCCTCAGATACCCTCACATCCTTTCACATTTCCAGTGTATCCCTCCCCTAGCTTCTGCCTGTTTTTCTTGTCAGTAATCATCTAATTAAATTTAAACAAATTAATTATAATACAGAAGTCTCTGCTAATCCAAGTATTTATTTCCCACAGTTTCAGTTACTACCAGAAAGTACTTGAGGCTCTTTATTTGGAGGAACTCACCTTGGCTGTGAGACTGCCCTTACCCATATGCAGAGAGAACCTCAGCATCTGGGTGCTTATTTACTCCTTGGGAATCCTGAGCCAATGGCTGATGATGAGGAACACTGGAAGCTCAACTTCCAGGCCTCATGGTGGTTACATCTGATGTGCAATTTATAGCCTCTTGTTCCTCTTCAGGTCACGCTGCAGCCATCTGCCACTGGACCATCCTGAAATCCTGTTTGGCTTCTTTTCTTTCTCTGTCCTGCTGCTACTCTTACAACCTTATCTGTCTCTTCTGGAAATACTTCCTTTAATAAAATCATATTTGATCCTTGAATCAGATTTCACTGACTTAAACACCAACTAAGAAATTACATGTTATAAAGAAAATCTTGATTTAAGACCATAGCTTTTACTTTTTTCTCAACCTCTCAATCATGTTTGTAATTGTATAAAATGGATAAGTGAATATGCTAATGGCAATCACTTGAGGTATATCATAAAGGTAAAATCATGAATAATTTTGATGAAATGTGTTTCTTTTTAAATAAAATACTGAAATCAATAACTTGTTTCAGAGTGCATGTAATTTTCTGGAGTTAAACAAGATTAATTTTGTTTCAATTACTGGTTGTATTTAGTGTGCCTGAGTGAAATGAAAAGCTATGTCTACTAACTCCAGGCTGTGGCTCTAAGGCCGTGTGTACAATGCATTTATTCCCCATTTCTTACTCTACCTGAAAGCTTTTGAGCTAAATATCACTTCATTATTGAGCAATTTATCTAATGAAAAAACTGACTAACTGCTCCCTCTTTCATAAAATATTACTTTATAGCTACCAAAGGAAGATAAAATAACAATAAAATAACATAAGTAAGCAACACTGAGGCAAAAGAAACATTTGCTATAGCCTAATTCGAGGATTCAAACAGTATTTCCTGAAGTTGAACTCTATTTTAGAATCACCTGAAGTCATTTTGACAGGTGTACATCTTATCTCTGAACCAGTACACCAATGCATGAAATGGATCTTTATCAATAGAGCGTCATATGAGTATACAATTCTCAAACCAAGAGTAGCAAAATTTGCTTTTAGAAGATGTAAGGAAAGAGATGACAATCACAGTCCATAAATGATCTTACCATTACATTCCTGATCTTTCATATCATGGCATGTAGAAAACAATAATGTTATGTCCAGCATATCAGGATAAGAATCACAGATAGAAGTAAGCAAACCAAAGACTTAAGATATGCCCAAAAGAGACTGAAAGGATCAGATATATTTGTATATATCAGATATATATATAAATTGCTCCAGGCAATTTTCTATTTATGTGTCATCACAACATGTTACTGGCAATGTCAAGCAGAAATAATAATAGCCAGAAGCAGCTGGGTCATTTTCTAGTTCCTACGACGTGAGACAGTTTCTCTGTCTCCATAATGAACTAGTAAACATTACTAAAAAGTAAACATTATATGTACAGTATTTTAATTTTTTATTTTAGGCACATTTGAGTAAAATAAATAACTTAATAATTCTTGTATATGTACAATTTTTCTGTATGTTCTTTCTAGTTAATGGTCTTAGATGTCATAAAGTAAAAGTTCAAGAGTATTGGATTTTTCTACATAAAATAAGGGAAGATTTTGGTACAAATACATACAAAAGTAGTCAAGTC